CACCGGTAATTAAAGTAGTTTTCCATGGTAAACTAATGTTATTATTATTACTATCAGTATTTCAGGATTCAATCTGATTTGTTTATTTCCGTGCACACTGTACTATACATATTTATTAATGGAACCCAACTGCTGTCTTTATTAATAATCTCATTCAAATCTATGCCTATACCTGCCAAATAACCCACATAATGCAGACGTCACCTGCATTCAGACAGATTTTGGTGTCACCTGCATCATGCATGAAATCACAGTTATTTTATGTGAGTGTAAGTTTGCAATCTTCCCTAAATAGCGCCCTCATAAATAATCGCTGGACATGAATAGAGGATGTCATCATTTGTTGTTTTAATTATACATATGAGAAAAGTAAAAATTTCTTAACTAATATTAAAAATAATATATTATTGAAAGATGTATATAAATAAATTAATGAAATTTGGTTTAGATACATGGGTTGTTTTTAATATTGCCTCCCCCCTGATATTTTTGAAAAGTTGGCAGGAATACCACCTATGTGTAATTGTTAACACTTTTTCACTTGATTTAACTGTACTAAAGTTCCATATTGACAAAAACATATATTCTTGTTTGTTTGATTTGTTGATTATTTGTTGCATTTGCAGAACACACAACAGTATTCATTATGAAACAATTTATTTATTTAACACTTTATTTAAAGAGGGTAGGCCAATATACAATAAAGTAATTTTCATTGGGCCCTCTGTAGGGACAAAAAACACAATATACACACTATAGGCTTGAGCCAATTTTTCACTAAGATATATTTTGTAAGTTTTCTTAAAAATGCCTAATGAGGCACATAATATCAAAATAGTGAAATTAAATATCACTTAAAATAAACAGATTTACAGTAAACAATGTTCCAGGCTTTACCCAGCATGATTTGTGAAGTTTTAGTTGTTGCCTTGTTATTGCATAAACAGTGGATACACACTAGTGATTGACCTCCATTTTCACCCGTTCTAGCTTATATTGGATATGCTGTTACGGGGGTTGTGATGCCGAACAGGAAGTTGTCTATCTACTGCAAAGCTTCTCGTATATTTAAACTTAGTTTCATTAGTATTGCTTATCTTAGTCATAAGCCCATGCGCATTCCAGTGGTACACTTTACTAAAAGGAGTTTTCTAAACTCGTCACCAACCCCTGAAGTAAGCAATTATTCGGCGATTTCTTTATCATTTTTTGAGTAATGGTTCTATCCATTTCTATTTTTTCTTCTTCTATTTCATTGTTGTGTATTTGTGGAATACATAAGTGTTTCTCAATAAAGAAAAATAATGAAAATTCAAGTTCAGGTCAAGTCCGAGTTGTCAATGTCACTGCATTATGGCCCGAAATTATTTTTGCCACAGCGAAAGACTCTGATGACAGCCATCAAAACAACATAAATATATAGACTGGTGTTTATAAGGTGCATGTCATATTTTCTTACCTTTCAATACTTCACATTATAAAAGTAAATGCCAAAATATTAACCAAGTTGACACTCGTTTTCCCTCTTCCCATATACATGTACACTGTTCGCCATTTTGAATATTTTGAGGTCAGAGTTAACAGGTCACGCAGGTGTTCGCTGGTTGTTTGTGTCGTTGGTGTAGCTGCTTTTATGTTTCAATCGGTCTGTAAACATATAGTTGATAAGATCCGGGGTCAACCTGTGTTGTTTTTTTGTTACCCGCTCATCTTCAAAATTTTTCTATCATTTGTTTCCTATATTATAGCGCCCTCACAGTTAGAGATCAGTAAATCAGAGTGTTTTAAATATACTAGTATTTGGTAATCGCAGTCCTAAATAACTATTAAAAATAGCTAGACGTTTCGAGCAATGGCTCTTTATCGAGACTGAGGCTACGACCTTCAAACATGAAATAGGCGGTTTGTAATAATCAATAAAACATGTATTACCACATTCATAGTGAAAAAAATTAATACATCGAAAATGTACAGAAAATAAAGTTATCGTAATCCGTCATATCGTATGCAGCTATTTTGGTCCACCTGGACGTTCCAGTATCCTAGTTACCTCGGGCATGCGCATTCGCATTTTCCTGAGTTGGAATGCTTATGCGAGAGCGAGATTGAAACAGGATCTTGGTATCTTGGGATCTTGGTAGTTGCAAACCCCAAGTAATGTACCTCTGATCATATTTATCAGTCCGAGCAGCGTTTATTTATTTATAAACTATAAATATAATGCTGTAACTTTATCTTGTTTTTACTAACACCTTTTCAAAGAATAAATTTTCACCAAAAAGTGTTTTTTCCTGAAATTAAATGTACTGACATTGTAAGGGACTGCCATTAGAAGATGTGATGGTAAGAAAGGTCGAATTATTTGTTTCTTCACAGTCCGTCTATCTAGAGGGACTGTGGTTTCTTGTATGAGGTAGATTTGTTTTGTAGAATGGTGTTGCCAACATTATTTTAACTTTCCTTCATAAAATGTGTGGGATTTTTTTTTAATCGAATGTTAGATTATATAGATTATGTAAGTTAGATTATATAATGTTGGTTAGTTGTATATTATTAACTTAAATTATTTTGAAAATATTATTGTCATATATGTATATATAAAAGGTGTTATTTTAACCATGAACGCGTGCACCTGTATGTACCGGTAAGTGCATGTGCTACCATGGTTTTTAGTAACCGTGCATGGAGGTACTATAAAGCCAAGCTGATTTTTGGGTATTATCTTTGTTGTTTTCTTTATGCGTGAGGATGAAATTGGTACTGTGCAGGGTGTTTTTTTTTTTTTTTTTTTGTGGGCATTATTTTTTTTTTTTTTTATCTCAGATGGTTTAGCCATTTTTTTCTGTATGGGTATTAATTAAAATATTTTCTGGATTGATGATGGATAATGTCAAATGCCATGATGGAAACAGTGTCTGGTTTCAGTTCGATGCAACACCTTGTCGCCACTCTTCTTGTGCCTGCACAAATTCGACCAATCCCTGATAGACTTAATAAACAATCAGTTACAAATGCACAAGCAGTCACCACCGTCAGTCGCTCTATCATGGACTGGGCTGTGACGCAAGTAAACAAAATTTAAACATAAATAAATGTCCGCCATTTTTTATTGACCTGATTATTATTAGGTCGAGTCTCGGGTCAAATCATTTGAAGACGGGGAAGGAATCATTTTAAAAATTGACTTCTTGAAATAAACATATTAATATTAAATATAAATTTTATTAATGACTAAATTATAATTTTCCCCGTTATCGACTTGTTTTATTCGTAACTTTAGTCAAACTTGAAAGGTTAAAGGTTAAAGTTCATTTCACGTTCTGCACGTTGTAATTGTATATCGTTATTTTGGTGTTCAGAATTTAACTTTTAAAGTTTAGTAGCAAACATGTTCGCGGTAGATTTTAAAGACGAAGAGCAGGTGAAAGAATATATGGAGAATCTACACACTGAGTATATGTTTTCCTGTCATCATGAAAAAAACAGTGACGGTGAGTGTATAAAGCCAGGGTCAGTCTCACGGGGGCTTGCAACAGGATTTATGGTTAAAGGGGCACCTTCCAGTTAAGATTAATTTTACAACAATTTACTTTCTGGATTAAAATAACAATGGAATAACAAAAGATAGATGAACATTGCCAACATAAACAATATGTCCCATGATCTTTGATG